AGTTGTATTGCATTAGCACAAAGCCACACCAAACAGCAAAAGACGCTACCATACAATAAAACACTATAGCCACCTCCACTCCTTGCTAAAGGGTCAGGGAGCATTCTTAAATAGTGTGAGATGGAGTACAGAGGGTTATTGGGTGCAGGGGAATAATCTACAGTCACACCTGATCTTTTTTGTTCTTGGTCTTTTTCTTTGTTTTTCAGCCAGATTTAATGCTTTTTCTTCTGAAATGCTCTGAGATATATTTACTGGTATCCCTTATACTGCAAGAATATGTCTTGGCCGTAATCAGGCAGTAGAATCCATAAAACTCATTCTTTTGTCTTATGGGTTCTACAAGCAGGCTCAATGACATATGATGAATCCATTAATGGTGACACTACCAGGAAAATTAGGCCAATTTTATGTCAAATTATTATTAGGAGACAAGATTCCCAGTGTGACTTTGGTGGTTGCCAAGTTTTTGTGTGAGGCAGGCAGGATCAGAGAACATCTAATTTTTGTTCTCTAGGGGAAAATGTCTAAATAAGCTCTGTTTGTATGAACCAACAAATTGTTCCCTGTGCTCTTAACATATTTTACATGTTGTGGATTAGATTTTGCTGGGTCTCTGGACCATAAAAAAAGATTTGTTCTTCTTTCTTTGTCTCTCCCCCCCCCCTTTTTTTTTGGCACAGTTTCTACAAGCTTTAATTGCAACAGAGATTGTGATAGTGGTGGCAGTGGCAGAGATTCTAAGATGAGGTAATGAATTCACAGAAGGAAACTTCCCCATCTCTTCTCCATGCCCAATCACACTCCTCTGAAGTTGGGATCATCTGAAAAAGGCTTTGGAGTATTACCATCAAGTTTATATCAAGTTTTACTGCAAACGCCAATCACAGTTCTAAACGCTAGTACATTGGGACACAAATGGGTTAAAGAAATTTCCCATAACTCACTCAATGTGGGGTTGTTGTTGTTTTAAATACTGATGCCTAGGATTTAAAATGGGCAGCTCTCCCATCAATTGAAACCCCCCCCAAATAAAATAGCAAACTCTTTCAGTCAAAATTTAACAATAAAATATATCAAGAAGGAACAGAAAAGCAAGGCAGATAAAAGGCAAGGACAGTCAGCTGCAGAAAGCCAGTCAGAATAGATGTGTCTTGCCTGAATTCCTTTAGAGATAATGAATGCTAATTTTTCCATTTAATTTTGAACACGCAGCCTTAACTATGTTTGCAGGATTATGTGTGAGCAGCTATGATGTAACATTGAGATGATGATCTGGTAAATATCTGGTTATAAAACATCAAAGGAATAAAATTGCTTGGAACGAGAAGTGTAGTAATAACCAGGCAAGAAAAACAGGACATTGTCTCATCAAAAGTGCACTAACTGGCAAAATTACAGGGCATCGCCTTAATGGAAAAGCAGAGACATCACAGCCGAGTAGCACAAGGTCACTGAAAAAGGAGATGAGCTTTATGGAACAATGGGTTCCTTGGCTGACCTATGCTGAAAAATGGCCAGAAACTGTAGTCACCATAATATGTTTGTTCATGTCCTAGATCTTTGGAGAAATGTTGACATTGCAGAGATAAGGAAATAAGAGGAAAAGAATGAAAGTTATGGTATAGTTTGATGGTATCCTACTGTTACCCTTTAGTTCCAGTGCAGCATGGTTCCAGTGTAGTGTGGTTCCAGTGTAGTGATGAGACATCTGATCAACTTATTTCAAACAATGTAGAGATGAAAGAGATTTGATCAGCTGTGGGCCACATTCAATGATAAGAGGCAAGATCTTTAGAAGCAACCTCTGGAGGAGTGTAAATGAGCCTGTATATTGGGAGCAGCACATGATGATATTACTGTTTTTGGACTACATCTTTCAGAATCCTCCATCTAATATAGGCAGTGGGGCTATGCAGGATGAGGGATTCTGGCACTTGCCCCAAAATGTAACATTTCGAAGCTGTGCCAGAGAGGAGGTCTTATGCCCCTATATAGATAAAATGAAAGTGTTGCACCCCGTACTCCATTATAACCACCACATTAAGAGGCTGTCCATTGCATATCTGATTTTGCTACAGTGGCCCCTCAGTTTTCGCAGCCTTGGAGTCCATGTCCCTCACCTGTTTGTGGGCGGCAAACTGAGGGGGACAAAATGGCGTGTGCACCCACAGACACCTGCCACCATTCTAGCCAATGAAGCTTGAATATTGGTAATTTTCCTTTTTCACGGGGGGGGGGGGGTCTGGAATGGATCCCATGTGAAAATGGAGGTGCAACTGTAGTTTTGAAAGTTGTCTTGCTTATAGGTAAGATTTTACCAGTGTTTGCTAAATATTGAAAATGAGAAGGCTTCTGATGTCCATTAGCTCCCAGAATTCCTGACCTTTGGCCAGAAGATAGAGATCTACCTGAAGAAGGGCCCAACAGTGGAGCTTATCGCATTCTTTAAAAAGCCGGCTTACCTTTTTCAGCTTGAATCTACATCCAGGATACCATGGTGCTTAGCTGGCCAATTTTTGAAGTTGGAAGCTTCTGATTTTGAAAATCAGCCAGCTGAATGTGGCTTCGACCCCGATTTAAGGAGCTGGCCCATGTGATAACATCTGGGTGTGTCCTGAAAGAAGATTCAAGCCAGAAAAGGTAAGCCGGCTTTTTAAAGAATGTGATAAACTCCAACTGGGAACTCCACGCATGCTGTCTGGAGGTATGTAATGAAAGATACACATGGTGTAGTTTTACTTTTTAAAAAAGTTTATTCCTACTTGCATTGAAGTGTACATCTGATACTCACTGAATGGACTGGATGTTGATCCCTACTGCAGATACAACTTATTGGGTTGGATCCAAACTTATTCATGTTTAGAGTAAACCCACTGGAATCAGTGGGACTGAAGTTGGTCAAGATTAACTTGTCCCACTGAATTCAAGGGGTCCTGCTCTAAGCATGACTAAATTTGGCTCCAACCCTCTAAATGCAACTTTTGTTCCTACATCTAGAGTTAATTTGCATCTCAAATCTTCTAGACCACTGGTGGTGAACCTTTTAGAGACGAGTGCCCAAACTGCAACCCAAAATCCACTCATTTAGTGAAAAGTCCCACGTCTCTCTGGCTTTCTAGTAACAAATTCTGGTAAACTCTGTGCTGGGGTGATGGCGTGCATGCCCACTGAGAAGGCTCTGAGTGCTACCTCTGGCATGCGTGCCATAGGTTTGTCACCATTGTTCTAGACTATATTTAATAGATAGATAGACAGACAGACAACATGTATAATGTGCATTTTTTATTGGCCCTATAAAGGTATCGATGTCTTGTGGATTTTGGAAGATACTGTACTTTCCTATATGGCCAACACACCATATGTGTTTTCTGGATGTGAAGATGACCTCACTTTACTATTTTAGGTTCCTGCCTCGAACAAAAGTAAAACATTTTTTTCTTTTAAATTGGGATTGCATCAGCATGTTTTACCTTAACAACACCAGAAGGCCAGAAGGAGGAAGGGCCCATCTGTATCAATACCCTTCCATGACATCTGAACTGAGGACAACTACAACATCTTGACCAAATGCAGGCTATGACTAATATTGTTACCCCCCCCCCCCATGTATCATTTTAACACCTTTGCCTGATGAAGAAGCCAGTTTAGCTTTGAAAGTTTGCAGCATGAATAATGTGCATTTTGGTTGGTCCAATAAAGGTATCACTGTCTTGTGGATTTTGAATGATACTATGCTTTTCTATGTGGCCATCATGGCTACCCTAGATATGTAGACAGACAGCTAGATAGAAATATAGACATATATAGATAAAGGTATAGGAAAAAAGGTTGCATTTAGTGATTTGGAGCCTGATTTAGTCATATGTTGAGAAGACACCTTGAACCTTTTGGGGAATAAATGACCCACCATTTTATTTTATTTTATTTTATTTTTGCTTTGCAGAGAGACCAAGAGTTGTTGCAGCCAGCTTTCTGGGATCCTACATGAAAAGGGGAATGTGGAGAGTATACTCTCCCCCCCATACATACATATATACAAAGAGAGAGAGAGATTATTGCAGGCAGCTTTGGGATAATACATGAGAAGGAGAAAGTGGAGAGTATACCTTTTTCGTATATATAGAAGGAAAGTATACTCTCCACTTTCTCCTTCTCATATAGGGTCCCAGGAAGCTGGCTGCAATAAGTTCTAAGTCTCTCTGCACAGCAAAAAATAAAAGGGCAAATGTTTGTTTCTGAGAAAGCTAATATTTTAAAGGACTATACTAGGGTTGTTTGTGGGGTTTTTTGTTCCCCAGGAAGCTAGTACGGTATATTAAAGGAAGCTATCTCACCCACTAATATCTACCTAGCTCTGCCAAGAGAAAATGTCTTTGTTGTTGATTAGCTGGTGCTGCTGCTGTCTGCAAAGTCCCTTTCCAAACAGCTCTAAATTCTGTTTTGCCTCCAAGGAGGCAGGAATTTTGGTCACCCTCCGATTTTCTGAAGCAAAACAAAAACACAATAGTCTTTTTCTATTTTAAAGAAAGACGATTTAAAAAAAACAAAAACAACCCAACTCCCTTTGCTCTGTTGAAAAATGGGAATAATTAGAGCACCTTGAATTGCTGGTTGCTTTTATTTTCAGAATTTATAAATTATCCTCCCCATTATCCAAGTGTCTAGGGCCATGTGAAAAACCAGCTGGGGGTAAGGAACAAATGAACAAATGATCAAATGAAATTGTCTTTCTATTATTATTCCAAAGCAAGTGCATTAGCTTGGTAGAGCATTAATTCCAGTAGAGCACTATTCCTTTGGACAGCCTAAGTCTGTCCAACCTCCCAGTGATCCCTATTTTTGTCTCATTCAGAAAGTACTTTCTCTTCTCTTCTCTAGGTATAAACTGATACTGTCAACAGAGACAAATGTCCCTTTATTTCCCATTCCCATTATCCTTGTTGTTGTTTGCCTTTAAGTCACTTCCAATGTATGGCAACCCTAAGGCAACCCTAGGAGCCAGTATGGCTTAGTGGTTTCAGTATTGGATTACAACTCTAGAGACCAGGGTTTGATTCCCAGCTCTGCCATGAAACTCACTGGATGACCTTGGGCAAGTCACATGCTCTCAGCCTAAGGGGAAGGCAATGGTAAACCACCTCTGAATAAATCATTCCAAGAAAACCCCATGATAAGGTCACCTTAGGATCGCCATAAATCAGAAATAATTTGAAGGCACACAACAGCAACAACAAGTAGGCAAACTTATCATTGGATTTTCTTGGCAAGATATGTTTTAAGGGGTTTTGCCTTTGCTTTTCTCTGAGGCTGAGAGAGTATGTCTTGGCCATGGTCACTCAGTGGGCTCAAATGGCCAAACAAGGATTCGAACCCTGTTCTCTAGAGTTGTAGTTCCATGCTCAAACCTCTACATAACGTTGGCTCTCTTTCCCAATAGTTGATGGTTCTCATACTGTGTGATGCAGGGCCAGGCCTACCATTTATTCATTCTCTAGGGCCAGTGTTTCTCAACATCTGACTTGAAAGATGAAGAAAAAAGCAGAGTTTTACCAAATATCCATATCTGCATACATTTCTTTCTTTAGCAAGGTTACTCTGCATTTGCAAAGGCACAGTTAAAACCACAGTTTTGTTATTCAACTCTCATTTTTACGTGAGGAATACAAAGTGAGATAGGAGGTTGCATCAAGGCATGACCAGTGGTTGGAACATATATGGGCTTTAGTCATTTCAGTGGGTCCACTGAAATTAAATCTAGAGTCTGCCCCATATGCTGAGATTTAAACGTGATTTTTCCAGAATCATATGCAACTCTCTAATAGGTGGAGCAACTAGACCTGAAGTAGTATCAAAAAGATGATAGACTGTTGTTTTTAAAAAATTGCATGGAGTTCCTCTATACAGCAGAGACTATTCTGCCTAAAAGGCATATAAAATGGAAGCCCACTGTAGCAGATAGAATACATCAGTAGTAATATTTCCAGCCAAACTCATCCCTGTCAGTACTTGAAACCTTTATAGCCATATCTGTGATGACTGCAGCTGTCTCTGAAAATAGGATATCAAAAGCTGGCTCCTGTAGCCGACATTCTTCTTTTCACAAATAGGTTTAAAAGATTTCTGACTGCCTCTGGTTTGATAGCTTCCATGTGATAGATTCTCTTTGATGGCATTGCTTTCATTCAGGTGACAAAGTTGACCTTAGGACTGACTGAAATTATCCGTGCATTTTCCCCCAGAAGTACTGCTTTTCCTTCTACAATGCTCAAAACAAAACCGTGAGCAGTGTACGTGTGGGTGGGTGTACATATAACAGCAAGGGCTTTCCATTATGTACAGTGGCAACCTCTCATTTGTTCCTCATGCATTGCCAACTGGTGACATCCATGTCAGTGTGACTGTGAATGTGCTCTGGGCATCAATCTAGATTTTAAAAAAATATCCAAGGTGCTAAATCCCAGCCCCGAAACAGGTTTAGCACCTTGGGTAGCTCCTTTAAAGTTCAGGCTTAAACCAACCGCCAGACTACTATTGTCCTTGTGAACTCCTCTGTTGTAGAAAACAGATCTCCACAGCCTGTCCTGCTTCCCCAAACTGGGATGGAACAAATAGTATATCTTGCTTGGACCACTGTAACAAGCTCCATATGGGTCTGCCTTCTTTAAAAAAAATCTTCAGAAAATTCAGTGCATCCAAGATTTTGTAGCCAGTGTGTGCTGAGCAGAGCCGCTTACAGGGAGAATAAAAACCTCTTTCTTCCAACAACTTCACTGGCTACCAGTCTGTTTCTAGGTACACTTCATTGCTGGTTATAACCCATAAAACCCAGTGCAGCTTGGGTCCAGACTATCTGAAAAACTGCATCTCCCCTATGAGTCTACCTAAATTTTGAAATTTTTAGGGGAAGACTTTCTTTTGGTCCCATCACCATCACTAGCATGTTTGATGAGGACATAAGAGAGGCCTTCTTGGTTGCTACTCCCAACCGAAATCTCTTCCAAAAGAAGCTAGGCTAGCCCTCTTTCTGCTGGGAAGCAAGCACCTTTTCATTCAGACAGGCTTTCCCCCACTAAATGCTGGGGGCAAATTGATCTTGTAATGGGGAGGTACACTTCCTTTCTTGATATGTTTTTAAATGTTTTAAAACTGTTTTTTTTTTTTCATTTTAATATAGTAATGTATTTAATTGTTTTTGAATTATTCTTCAGCATTATATCTGATTATGGTTTTAAAAAACATATATTTTAATTCATGTTGTAAACTGAACCCCTAATCCCATATCATCTTGGGTCTATGCTCAGAGAAAAGAGGGATATTAAATAAATAAAGGAATGATCAGAGTGGTAATCTAAAATATCTGGAGGGAAGCACATTACTATTATCTCTTGCAACAGACAGTTTCATAACCCATGGATTAAAGCTGTCTTGTGAAGTTGAAGGCTTTTACAGCTGGCATCTATAGGTTTTTGTGGGTTTTTCAGGCTGTGAGGACATGTTCTAGAAGAATGTATTCCTGATGTTTCACCTGCATCTGTGGCTGGCATTTTCAGAGAAATGGTATTAAGTTGGCTTGTTTCAAAGAATCAATATTAAGCACAGTTTACTGTATGGGAGGGATGCAGTGGCTTAAATGGTTACGATGCTAACTCTGTTGATTGCAAGATTGAGACCCGGGTGCCGCATGATGGGGTGAGCTTCTGTCACTAGTCCCAGCTTCTACCAACCTAGCAGTTTGAAAGCATACAAATGCAAGTAGATAAATAGGTACCACTTGGGGGAGGAAGGTAAACAGCATTCTGTGCAATCATGCTGGACCATGATCACAGAGTAGTCTCTGACAACGCTGGCTCTTTGGCTTAGAAATGGAGATGAGCACCACCCCTGATGGTCAGACACAATTAGACAAACTTGTCAACGGGGAATACCTTTACCTTTTTACTGGATGGACAATATGACACGATGAAGCTAATGAGAAATGGCAATGGAAGCTTCTAAACACCTCTTCACTTCTGTGCAATAGGAGGAAGTATATACAAACATACCTCAGTTAGCAAAGACATCTGAGAAAGTAGATTGAAGTCTATGAAAGCTGATGCTTCCAATTTTTTTCCCCCAGTTAGTTTCAAAGGTGCTACAAGATCTCTATATGTACTGATTCTACAGACTAACACGGCTATATCTTTGAATTCAGTTAACAAAGCCTCTAATAAAGAAGCTCCTTTTAATGCCTGCCCAGTCACCCCTTTTTTCCTCTTCCTTTTAAAGTTAGAAGGTTTTTAGCAGCATAGGCACAGGGAGCATGGTGAAAGAGGGCTGGGAAAACACAGATTTTCAATCAGGTTGCAGCAGCATGTCTGCATTAACTAGGTGATGAAGATTAAGATGGGAAAAGGTGGGATTTTATTCTAGTCATTACTACTGTAGCTGTGTCATTTTACTCTAGTCATTACTACTGCAGCTCCTGCCTGAATTCCTGAAATACAAAAGGAGGAGAACAGATAATCTTGCCACACTATCCCTCCCCAGTATGTTCAAAAATAAATAAATAAACCAATCAATCAATCAATACAGAGCATAGATCAGTGGTACTCCCTTTACATACTCCCGCAGCATAGTATATGGATAAAAATATTTTATTTATTTAGTGTGCATATTTTAATGTGCACATTCATGTATATTCATATTTTAACATTTTACAAGGAGATAACATCATTCAAATTAGAACTGTTTTATTTAAGTAAATTCAATATTTAACACATGTGTACGCTTAACACATAAAAAAGTTTGAGAAGAGGAGGTGGGGGGAAATTAGATGAAGTAGAAGCAGATCATGGCTGACAAAACCGGAATTCCAATGAGGTTCAGTTGCCCTTTTACAGAGACAAACTCTTTCGAATCCATTCTTTCTGGCTGATTAATAATTTGCTTTGGGTACTGCCTAAGCCACGCAACATAGATACTTGTAGAACAGCTATGACTTATCACAGCACATGCCACATTCAATGAAAATGTTGCTCTGTTATTTCTTTGCCGCAAGAAGGAAAGTTAACATCAGGTTTTTCAAGAAAATAACAAGCAGGAAGCTTGTTTAAAGTAAAACAGTCTGTGAATCAAAGCAAATTCTCTTCCTGAGTTCAAGAATATATATTTTGTAAAGGGCAACATTTTCTTTCCAATCTCTCCCCCCCTACATACACAACTTAGTTTTTGGGTGGTGGTGGTGTTTACTTCCCCTCTCTCAAATGGCTGAATTTTATCACAGAGTATATCTCAAAGATGCCTTTATACTGAAACGGTAGATATAATTATTCCCAATTAGCTTAATAGCTCTGCTGATATTATAAAGATCTTTGTTGGTCTCTTATCATTACAGTTGCCCTGATGCGAGGTAATGGCAGTTGAGGGGCAAAGCATTTCTAACCCAATAAATGGGGCATGACAATAGCTTTTGACCACATCTCCCATGCCCTTGCCCATCTTTTAGCGGCCAAGGATTATTTCAAATTATACCATAGTCACATCATCCTGTCAGCTAGAGAGCTGGGATACTCAGCAGTTAATTGCCATTCAGTTGTACAGGTTATTGTTTTCTTGTCATGGTTTCATGGAGCCCAGTAATAGATGAGAACAAAAGGGCACTTAATCCAAACTCTATAACATAGTAAGGCAGGATCCACCAGGAATGTGACTTAGGAGAAGAAGTTGTTTAGTAAAGGATACCCAGCATTTGGATGAATTGCCAGTATCTTCAACAATAAGTTTAATTTATAATGACTTTGCAATGGTACTTCTGTGAGAATAAGCCTATTATATTTTGTCTTCTCACATTCCTCTTTCCACAAACCCTTCCAGCCTGCCCCTTCCATAGAATATACAGAGAGCTCTTGGTATCCACTGGAGTTTGGTTCGAGGATCCCGCATGGATACCAAAACCTGTGGATGCTCAAATCCCATTATATACAATGGTGAAGGAAAATGGTGTCCCTTATATAAAATGGCAAAAATCAAGGTTTGTTTTTGTTTTTTGTTTTTTGTTTTTGAGGGGGAATATTTTGAAGCTGTGGATGGT